ACCTTGGGGACCGTGATGCGCTGGACTTTTTATGAGATCCGCTCTTTGCGCAGCTGCCGCTCAAGTCGCACACGGAACGACACCTGTGGAGAGTCATGCGCTGTCGGTCTATCTCTATCTCTCTGGTCTCTATCTCTCTGGTCTCTAGCTCTCTGGTCTCTAGCTCTCTGGTCTCTAGCTCTCTGGTCTCTCTCTCTCTCTGGTCTCTATCTCTCTCTGGTCTCTCTCTCTCGTCACTACCCTCTCTCTGATCACTACTCTCTCTCTCTCTGGACTCTACACAGATCTTTCTCTAGTCTCTGGTTTCTATCTCTGGTCTCTGCACAGGTCTCTCTCTTTGGGGTTTCTCTCTCTCTGGGATCTCTTTCTGGTCTCCAACCCCTCTCTGGTCTCTACACAGGTCGCTCTCTGTGGGCTCTATCTCTGGTCTCTCTCGGGTTTCTCTCTCTGGTCTCTCTCTCTCTGGTCTCTACTCTCTCTCTGGTCTCTACACAAGTCTCTTTCTCTCTGGTTTCTCTCGCCGGTCTCTCTCTCTCATCTGTACCATCTCTCTGGTCTCTATACAGATCTCTGTCTCTCTGGGATCTCTCTAGTCTCCGGTCTCTCTCTCTCTGGTTCTCTTATCTTATCTTATCTCTTAAATATTGCAGGATAATCCATAGACTTTCTGCTTACACTACACCTTCTTAGACAGTATTCATTTGTAATATTAAAACATATTTATTATTTCCCTGTATTGCTTCAACACACAGTATTACACCTGCTTCAAAGTCTATTGCCTGAGCTACAGAAAGCAGAGACCTGAGAACTGGACTAGTGTGATCGTATTTTCTGGTTCCTGGTCCTAGAACCTCCCTCGTACCTCCCTCTACCCTCACACCCTCACACTGAGCTGACAACGTGTGAACACAGGAGCAGTTCACCTCCCTCTCGTCAGAAACAATCCCATCCTGTGTTTTCTTCACTACATCAAGAGTCGCATTACACATTTCAAGCTCCATTATTTCTTTCATTGGCTTCACACTGCAGAGAAGCCACTCTTTTACGACTGCTTTTTCATGGCATGACCTAAATGTGCTAAATGTCCCTTGTTGAAGTTCAGGAGGCCTAAACCCGGTTTCCTTTGGAGCGACGCTTCAGGGCTCATGTTACATACTGTAGGAACGCAGCGAGGAGCCCCTGACCCATTGTGGACCGCTCTAATGGAACTGAGCCTTTGGAATCCACTCTGCCATTTCTAATAGAGACTTGTTCTTATGGAGACTTTACGTATAGTGACTGTCCTCAGAAGAAAAAAATAAAAACAGTAGAACTAGAAGTTCTACAGTAGAAGACAGAGGATTAAATCTTGTTAAAAACAGTTTAAGAGGCAGTTTAACTAAATTATTTCTCAAATTAGTAAATGCCGCTGTTGTTAGAAGTGAGAAATTAGACTCTAATTTCTCACTCCTAACAACAGGCATTTTTACATTGTGTAGTAGTAGCAGAAGCAGGAGTAGCTGTAGTAGTTTAAGTAGTAGCAGTAGCTGTGACAGTAGCAGCAGTAGCTTTAGCACCAGTGGTAGTACTAGTAGTAGCAGCAGCAGCAGTAGCAGTACTAATAGTAATAGTAGCAGCAGCAGCAGTGGCACGGTGGCTGAGTGGATAGCACTCTCGCCTCTCAGCAAGAAGGTCCTGGGTTCGAATCCCGGTCGGACCAGGGCCTTTCTGAGTGGAGTTTGCATGTTGATCTGCAGTGAAAAGGCGGTATATAAATAAAAACTTACTACTAACTTACTTACTAGTAGTAGTAGCAGCATTAGTAGTAGTAGGTAGCAGCACTTGTCGTAGTACTAGTAGTTGCAGCAGCAGCAGCAGTAGTAGTACTAATAGTAGTAGTAGCAGCATTAGTAGTAGTAGGTAGCAGCAGCAGTAGTAGTATCAGCAGTAGTAGTACTAGTAGCAGCAGCAGTAGTAGTAGTAGTACTAGTAGCAGCAGCAGTAGCAGTAGTAGCAGCAGTAGTAGTACTATTAGCAGCAGTAGTAGTAGCAGCAGCAGTAGTAGTAGTAGTTCTAGTAGCAGCAGCAGTAGCAGTAGTAGTACTAGTAGCAGCAGCAGTATTAGTAGTAGTAGTAGCAGCAGTAGCAGTAGTAGTACTAGTAGCAGCAATAGTCGTAGAAACGAGAGAATCAGCAGATATCTTGCAATTTCATTATTTACTTTTACATCCATGGCTCCTATCTGAACTCTGAACATTGTAAAGCGGGCGACCTTGGGCTGTAAAATGCGCTATATAAATAAACATGACTTACTTACTCCTAAGTTGAGCGTTTACTTTGTGGTTTTTCTGTTTCGGCGCCTGAAGAGAATAGTGGAGACACCCGTGTATTCCTTAAACAATGCTGATGTTATTTGAAGCGGGAGGCTGTAGATTGCTTGTCTTTTATCACTTGTTTGATTGTAACATAGGCCCCCTCAAGGCCAGCGTAAAGAGACCCGATTGTGTGTGTGTGTGTGTGCGTGTCTGTGAGTGTGTGCGTGTTGTGGGTGTGTGCGTGTGTGGAGCTGTAAGTGGGGGCCCTCTTATCTAAAACAAACCCGGAGGCTCAGAATAAAGCAATCCCTCCTCAGGCTGCGTCTTCTTATGTTTACCTATGCCTGTTGTCCAAAGTGTCAGCGCCCGTTGGGGACTCTCACCAGGCTCTGTGTGTGCTCTGTGTGTGCTCTGTGTGTGCTCTGTGTGTGCGTTATCTGTGGCCAGGTGTGGTGCAGCCAGACTCCCTCCAAAGGAATAGCGTTTCACACATGGGCTTTCTTCTACCCACATAAAGGAACGCAGCCTGAGGCCAACACAGCCTGCTATATTATGTGCAAAGAAACATAATATGTAATCAAAGCATACATATTTAACTTGTGCGAGCGAATATAGATGCAAGATTCAAGACGTGAAGTATATGGGCTGTGGATTTATAATGAGGGGTTTGTGGAAGCGTTTGGCTGCAGATAATTTGAACCCGCAAATGTTCCCTGTTTAGTTTTGTTGGTGTAAAACAAAGGCCAAAATTAAGTATTTCTTTCTTGATTTTACATAACTACGAAACTGTATTTACTGTGTATTGATCTGAGTATCTATCTATCTGAAAAATATGATTGTGAAAATATCCTGTAACACTTTAGCCAAGCCCTCAGTAAGAACCAGCTAAATAAGTGCTTTTTAGTGTATTATTTTGTATATATTTATTATGCACATATCAGTCCTTGTTCTACATCTAACTAACTACTATCAGACACTTTTCCATGTGGGTTAAGGTCAACTATCTGGCTGTTAACGAGAAATCTAATAATTCCTCTATTGTTGTTGTTTTTGTTAATGTTGCTATGTTTTAATGTATTGAACATAATTTAGCTAAAAAGATTTTCCACTGTTACAATCATATAATGCCTAGATTTACTGTCAGAAATAGCGATTTCTCTTTAAGAAACATTGTTGTTAATAAATCAAGATTGCCCAAATCCTCAGATATGTATATACTGGGGGGCAACAGTGGCTCAGTTGGTAGAGCATTGGATTTTGAGCCTGAAGGTTGTGGGTTCGAGCCCACGATGAGACCTACTTCACGACTCCCACTGATGACTGCTGTCGTTGTGTCCTTGGGCAAGACACTTAACCCCACTTTGCCTGAAGCCCCCGCTGAAAGATCAAAGCTCCTGTGGACTCAGCACCTGCAGGAGGATCAGTGAGGGGCTGGTGCTCTGTGTACTGGATGCAGCTCTGACCTCCACCCCCCTGACCCAGAAGTGAATAAATGGAAGGATGGATGGATGTATATACTAGGATATCTCAACAACAAAAATAGAATACCATGAAAAATTGAAACTTGTATTGATTCAGTACACATAGTAAGAGTAAAGTATTTCAAGTGAATTAAAACAAGAACATTTTAACTTCCTAAAAATCTTCCATGCACAATTCAATTCGATTCAATTTTGTATCGCCCTAAATCACAACAGTAGTTATCTCGGAGGACATTACAAAACTGTTGATTCGCCAACGCAGATCAGAGAATCACACAGTTCAAACACAGCAAATGCAAGGAAAGCAAACGATGATCAATGCCCATAAATGCTAATAGATAGCATATATCTCGTATATATCTCGCCATTGTTATGCAAAAGTCTTCATAATGTCAGTAGAAGGGTATCTTGTATCTGCTTCGCCCACAGCCACCTACATCGTACAACCGTAATTATGGCAGTGCGGCTCATGACCCTGAGACATGTAAATGAAAGACAAAACAGCTTCCCGGTGCCTTTGTGAAGCAATAGTCACTGTATGCCCATTAGAGAAGATTATTATGGCCTTTTTCAATGCCCCACAACCATTTAAGGCCAGTCATTAGGGCCCGCTGTGATAATATATTTTCCTAGGCTATTTCCTTCAGTCACCGCAGAGATGTAGCATTTTTCTGGTGAGACGCAGACAAGGAAATGAAGCCTCCCCCGGTGTCTCTTTGGCTCTTACTTATCTCACCGTGAAGAATTGCACTTGCTGAGGCTAACGACCTTTACAGTCAGTCAATGAGAATAATGAATGAACTTTTAATCAGATTCCTGTGTCGAAGAAAACGATTTTCTTCGAGATTTCTTTGCGGCTGCAGGCTGATCGTGTTGGTGTGAACTTGGTGTGTCTTGTCATAACAAAAATTCACCGAGTTGCTCTCACTTAAGCGACATTTCTTTGTGTTTAATTGCAGGTGCGAGACCAGAAACTGAGAAATCACACAATGTTCGACAATAAGATCTGTGTGTGAGCTTCTGTTTTGAAGTAGTTCCAAATATCAACTACATGGTTTTATACATGTTTGTCATACAGAGTAAAGTGTGTAGAGTGATTTGGACCCTCAGGAAAACTGTTTGTTGTCAAGAATTGCACATTTTAGCCATATTTACATCTCATTTCAGTTGCCCATGGAGTAATGCGAGTGCTCTACTAACATGTTCTACTTTCTGTTCACTGTAGGTTTCCGGAAAATCAGTCTGGACGATCTGCGCAAGGCCTACATCGTCAAAGATGTCCAGCAGTACATCCTCCACCGGCTAGACCAAGAGGAGGCCCTGAGGCAGCATCTCACCAAGGAGACGGCCGAAATGCTCAACCAGCTCCACATCAAAAGCAGTGGCTGTTTCCTCTACTTGGAACGAGTCTTGGATGGAGTGGTGGACAACTTTATCATGCTGCGGGAAATTCGTGACATCCCTGGCACACTCAACGGCCTGTACCTGTGGCTCTGCCAAAGACTATTTGTCAGAAAACAGTTTGCCAAAGTTCAGCCTATTCTTAATGTCATTCTGGCAACATGCCGGCCACTTACTGTCAAAGAACTGTATCATGCAGTCTGGACCAAAAACATGACACTAACTATGGAAGATTTTCAGAAAAAGATGGACATTTTAGCTAAACTGTTGGTTGATGGACTGAGAAATACAAAAATACTTTTCCATTACAGTTTTGCGGAGTGGCTACTGGATGTTAAGCACTGCACTCAGAAGTATCTGTGCAATGCAGCGGAGGGGCATCGGATGTTGGCCATGAGCTACACATGCAGGGCCAAACAGCTGAAACCACTTGAAGTTCAGGAGTTTGCTTTACACCTTGTCAACTCTAACTTACAAATTGAACCCTTTAATCTGGCTCTTTGGATGGTTTGGAATGGGACCCCTGCTAAAGATGCTCTGTCCATCTCTATACCAAAAGAACAGGAAGTGTTGCAGCTTTTAGTCAAAGCAGGGGCTCATGTGAACAACGAGGATGACCACGCCTCATGCATTGTACAGCAGGCGCTGGAAAGAGAGGACTCTATCAGGACTTTACTTGATAATGGAGCCTCAGTAAATCAATATGATTCTAGTGGCAGAACTCTCTTAGCAAATGCTGCATATAATGGAAACCTCGAAGTTGTCAACTTACTAATATCAAGAGCAGCAAACATGGAGTTAGAGGACAACCACGGGCAGACAGCGCTTACTCTCGCTGCCAGGCAAGGCCACACTAAAGTGGTCAACTGCCTAATAGGCTGTGAGGCCAACATAAACCACACAGATCACGATGGATGGACGGCCCTGCGGTCTGCAGCTTGGGGAGGGCATTCTGAAGTTGTATCCGCTCTTCTATACGCTGGTGCGAAGGTGAACTGTGCCGATGCCGATGGAAGAACTGCTTTGAGGGCAGCTGCATGGGGTGGTCATGAAGACATCGTGTTGAACCTCCTCCAGCACGGCGCGGAGGTCAACAAGGCGGACAATGAAGGAAGAACAGCTCTCATTGCGGCAGCGTACATGGGACACAGGGAGATAGTGGAGCATCTCCTGGACCATGGCGCTGAAGTGAACCATGAAGATGTGGATGGAAGGACTGCACTTTCAGTGGCTGCACTCTGCATACCCGCAAGTAAAGGCCACGCCTCGGTAGTAAGCCTACTGATTGAAAGAGGAGCAGAGGTTGACCACTGTGACAAAGACTGCATGACCCCTCTGCTGGTGGCTGGCTATGAAGGACACGTGGATGTAGTGGATTTGCTTTTAGAAGGAGGCGCTGACGTGGATCACACGGACAATAATGGCCGTACCCCTCTCCTCGCGGCTGCGTCTATGGGCCATGCGTCCGTTGTCAACGCATTACTGTTTTGGGGTGCAGCTGTCGACAGTATTGACAGTGAGGGAAGGACAGTCTTGAGTATTGCCTCTGCTCAGGGAAATGTGGAAGTAGTGCGGACTCTGCTGGACAGAGGTCTGGATGAGAATCACAGAGATGACGCAGGCTGGACACCACTGCACATGGCTGCTTTCGAAGGCCACAGACAAGTGTGCGATGCCCTCATTGAGCAAGGCGCTCGTGGCACTGAAGTTGATAATGATGGTAGAATACCGTTAATATTATCTGCACAAGAAGGACATTATGATTGTGTTCAAATTCTACTGGAAAACAAAGCCCCAGTGGATCAGAGAGGATATGATGGTAGGAATGCGCTCAGGGTGGCTGCACTGGAGAGCCACAGGGACATAGTTGAGCTGCTGCTGAGCCATGGTTCTGATATAGACTATAAAGATGCAGATGGGCGCCCTACTCTCTACATACTGGCACTTGAAAATCAGCTGGCCATGACCGAGTTTTTTCTTGAAAATGGTGCCAATGTTGAATCTTGTGACACAGAGGGTAGAACTGCTCTCCATGTGTCCTGCTGGCAAGGGCATATTGAAATGGTGCGACTGCTTATTAATTACCATGCAGATGTAAATTCCTGTGACAATGAGAAGCGTTCTGCCCTTCAGTCTGCCGCGTGGCAAGGCCATACAAAAGTAGTGCAGTATCTGATAGAAAAAGGCACCCATGTTGACCACACATGTAACCAGGGAGCTACAGCACTGGGCATAGCTGCACAGGAGGGTCACATTGATGTTGTTCAAATACTTCTGGAGAATGGGGCCGACCCCAACCATGCAGATCAGTTTGGGCGAACAGCAATGAGAGTTGCAGCTAAAGGAGGCCATGCAATGATTATTAAACTGTTAGAAAAATACGGAGCTTCAACATTGAATGGATGCAACCCCTCTCCTGTACATACCATGGAAGAAAAGACATTGTCTGTAACTGGTAAACTGCAGTCTCTCACCATTAAATCCAGCAGTTCAGGTAGCACAGGAGCTGGTGACATGCAGTCGACCGGCCGGTGTGTCACCAATGGACCAGTTCATGCATTCAGCTCCCCATCTGAATCTCCAGACTCCACTGTTGACAGACAGAAATCCTCTCTCTCTAATAACTCACTAAAGAGCTCAAAGAACTCCTCCCTCAGAACCACATCCTCCACAGCCACTGCACAGACTGTGCCCATTGACAGTTTCCATGGAATGACTTTTACAGAACAGATCCAGCAACACTCGCTGCCTCGCAGTCGAAGTAGACAGTCTATTGTATCGCCTTCGTCTACAACAAAGTCCATTGGCCAACAGCCCTCCTCTCCAGCCAGCGACTTTGACTGGTCACAGTTAAAACCAGGTCTTAATAAGGTTTCAAAGGGAAACAAAATTTCAGCTTCAAATGGCAAAACATCTCTGGGAGACAAAAAGAAAAACAAAAACAATGGGTCAAACCAAGTTTTGGAGTATGAGATGACCCAGTTTGATAAGCGAATAGCCCTCAATAAAACTGTTGCAAACATTGCAGTGAAGGATCCTCATTGTAAAATCATGATTGGCAGTCCCATTCAGGCCAACCAGGATGCGTACTACATCCAACAGCAGAGCTTGGCAGAAAAGAAGAGAAACGGCATCATGACAAATCCAAACTATCACTTGCAGGGTAATCAGGTTTTCCTGGGGAGGGTGTCAGTTCCCCGGAATGCTCAGAACAGAGGCCACCAAGACGTGCTAGACAATTATCCCATCGGAGAGACAGAGCTCAGCCTCAAACAGGCTCTTAAACTGCAGATAGAAGGATCTGACCCTGGGTTCAACTACAAAAAGGAAACTCCTTTATAGCTGGTGAGATCCTCTTCTACATTTCAGCCTTGTATTCTTTCACAGCACACATTCTTCACATTATACTGTGTTAGGCCGGGGGCCAGACCCCCTCTACACGATGTGTTTTGACTTTTTTTACTAGTATTTCATGTTATCTTACACCTTGGGCCATAATGAGTTGTTAGGGCCCACTCCCAACTTGGCCTCGTTTGGTCTCGGGGATTAAAAATAACTTTTTTTGGGATCCACATTTTTCAAAATTATGTCGTTGTAGATATAAAGGTCCTGAAACCGCATACATTGCCATATTAACCTAAACTTGGTGGCTCCTGACACATGGGTGAAACTAGGAAGAAAATATTTGAGTTTGCTACATTTGTGCTCATAAATAATAATACATTATATGTAATAAAGCCCCATAATATCCCCAATATTAAAAAAACACTAACAAATGTTTTGTCCGCCTGACAAATGGACATGCTATGTGATAGTTTAAATACATATATGTATTTATGCCAACATAGGATGTCATATATGTGATCCTGTATATAAATACATAACATAACTTTTCTATGTTGTAGTATACTTTACCTTCTTTGCATTAACCAAGTTCATTGTTTCAGTTTCAGATGTCATGGATGCACTCATTGTGCCGACATCAGAGGGAATGTGCCAAAGCAACTGTTTTTCATTTGCATAAAAATCCTGCATTGGTGCTCATTGGCGAGGGACCTGGAGAAAACCCGTGGGGAAGACAATTGCTGCCTGAGGCTTATGTGAACTGATACTTCTATGTGCCTACATCTGTTAGCGCCTTCTCCATATACCCACGCAAACGCATCCTTTTTATTTAACGTATTGATATTTAATGAACAGTGAATGCACTTTTTTAAAGACAACACATGTGTTTTTGTTTTCTCATGTTGTATCCATCCATATCCTGAGTATTTGATGAAACATACCAATGCTTTATTATTTAATGGGTTTCTTCGGCTTTTCTATTTTTTGGACTCTGACTGCAATGCGCCAGGGAGTGCATTGTGACAAACTGATGTCATTGTATGGATCTGATAGTCTGCCTTTCCTAGAGACCCCAAATAATCTGTGTTCACATCCTCAGTGTGCTTAACTGTTCATAGCTGTGGCTACATTCTTTAGGCGAGCCTATTTATTAGATATATATTTTGAAAACGAGCCACTTTTGATGCATTTTGGGTTGCATTACACTCAACCATGGTGCTGTGTTCAGGAGTTGCCTGCAGTTATTTTTAGACTCCCTGTTTTGTCGGCTTTGTGTGTTATGACTTCATGCGAGTATCTCAGAGGGAGGCTTCACTGAAACTAAAAAATATTCATTTTGTCCCTGTGGGATTTTTGAGTTGTGCATTTTTTATGTTTTTCTGTGTAAAAAAAGATATATATATATATATTTAAGCATCAAGTGTGTACATTCTGCAAGCGGTCGGTGCTAAATGCGAGCGAAATTGGCGATTATAAAAGAGCATTAACAAAGGCCTAATGCAAGACACTCAAGCATTGTTGACTATATTTTTTTTGGGGCGGGGGTAGAATTCCTGCTGGATTTTCAGGAGTTATGACAAAAGATCCACTTAAAAATGCCCATAATTCAAAGACATGTCCTGATTTTCAACAGTCAGAACTCCAAAGCCAAAGTTAGGCCCTGTCCAGACGGAAACCTTTCCCAGTCGTATTGTATTGTGTCCAATCCAGCTCTTGTCCACAGGGCCCTAGTGTGGAGGCGTTTTAATCTGACATATTCACGTCTCTGAAGCCTCATTTCCACCAGCCCCTACTTGGCCCTACCCAACTCTACTCTATTCTGCTCCGCTCTACTCCTCTCTGCTCCACTTGGTTGCTTTTTCATTATACTTTAGTATCTGGTACTAGAATCTAAACCCTAGGAATCTACCCACAACAAAAGAGTATCTGGAGAAATGACGTGGCTTCCAACAGCACTCTGGCCAATCACTGTCAGTTAGTACCAGCTCGGCCTGAATAGAACCAGGACCAAGAGGGACTAAAGTATACCTGGTTACTGGCCAGTGTAAGCGCTCCCAAAAGAGTAGAGCAGAGTATCATAGAGCATAGACTAGAGCTGAAAGAAACGAGACTAGTGCTTATGTTAAATAGTCAACAAAATCTGAATTATTTTTCTTGTCATTGTAAGTAACAGGACGTCACAAACTATTCATTTACTTTGGCTCAAGGTGCAAACAAATAAGAGAAATGTCAACACAAGCCTCGCGGTCAGTCTGTGTGCAGGACTGACCTGAAATATGAAGTTTATTGCAGGATCCTTTGCTGCCTCACGTGTTATGGGGAAAATATATACCCACCAGAGAGTTTATGAGAATAAAATCCAGTCCAAATATTCTCTAATTTCAGTCAAATCGGAAGAATAACATCCTCTCCCCTCTTCACCTGCTGTGTAATCAGAGCGTTCAAGCAGTTAGCGTTAATACCCGATAATATAGCTGTTGTATTCTTAAGAGGGGGATGAGGGGGAGGTGTGTGCCTTCCGTTGTCTGATGTGGTGTTTCCTGTTACTGCCCCTGACAGCGCCACCCCAGGCCTGGTGTGTACATTACACTGCTATCAGGTTGTTGTGTGGACGCAGACATTTACAGACACAGTTCCTTCTATACACAAAATGAGGTTTCATAACTATATGTCATGTCGTCTCCGTGTGGACAGGGCCTTAGAGGTGTCCAAACTCAGACCCACCCCTTTTTGGGAGGCTGAGAGGGTGGGAGACTGGGAGAACCACATCTGTTTCTCATGAACCGTGTGGAGCTGTGTCATATTTTTGCAGGCTTTTCATGATGTTAACAGCGAGCTATTTTTTGCCAAGTTCTCGGATTTTGGGGAGGGGAGCTAAATGACTATAGCATGCACAAAGCGTTGTAAGCCGTGGTGAAAGCTCCGGCACAGCGACAGCGTCTCGCAGGGTCACGGAGGGCCAGCGGAAGGAGGCCAGACCAGGGGAGGAAAACACACACATGTACAGTCTAATGGAGGTCTTCTGTTGTCCGACGTGTGTCACCTTTTGAGTCGTCAGTGAGTGGATTGTAAATAGCTTACCATGTACATTGAAGTCTCATCTTAAAAAGAATTCCTGTATTATACAAAGTGGGATTTTCTGATGTATATTAAAGTGCTTAATAAACATATTTGCTCTACTGCTGGAACACAATGTTTTTATTCAATAACTGTAAACTCTACAGTGTGTCCACTAATTAACTGTGTGCCGTGTGCATAATTAGACCATTACATTTGCTCTCTCCTAGTTGTGAGAATGTTTTTCTAACCCAGGGGTTATATCTTATAAAGTAAGCATTTATATATGAATAGAAATATAAAACAAGGCCGTATTAATACTATTATGAAGTTCAAGCCAAGTTCTGTTCCAAACTAATAATGGCTTAAGATAAATAAAGACGTCACAACTAAATGGAATACACAATCACAACAGTAGTTAGGACTTTGCAAAGATGTTGATTCGCCAACAAACGATCTGAGAATCAAAAACAGGAACTGCAATGATAAAAACACATAAGGGGTGGATGACCAATGTCCACATATAATACTAGTCCTTTAATGAATCGAAGTTAATAAAGTGAAAAATATGCAATAACAAAATAGAGAATTGATAGATTACATGCAAAACATGGGGATCGAAGGCAACAGATAAATCTTGAATTTAAAAAGCACATTTTGAAAGCAGTCAAGTAGTCTATGGTTGTAACACGGGCCCTGCAACATCAGTGTGTGTGCCATGTATATATTTTGATAGAATTCATTTTGTTTTTGTAAGGAGATAATTATTGTTGTAAACACACATCTCGGTGAACTTCTCAAAACTGTCAATTTGCCAACACAGATCAGAGAATCAAACACAGGAAATACATAACAAGCGCACATGAGCCATTGGTCCAAAAGAGGCAGATGACCAATGTCCACAAATGTTCATAGATGTCCATGGATCGATATTAATGTAGATAACATATATCCACAGTATTAGGAGCTGTAAGGTTTAAAATATTGATCATACAGCTTTTAGGAACAGTCCCCCTCTTCATGAACAGGTCAATTTTCGTTTCCACGTCACCATCATGTCAAAGCTGCTGATCGGGGTTGAGTGTGAAAGGGCCGCCTCACGGGGCCTGATCATAATACTGTAAGTGAGTAAGTAACATTTATTTATAGAGCGCTCCTCTCACAGAGATTATCTTGCAAGTTAATGAGAGACAGTTTAAAAACACATGAATCCGATGTTTGAACCCAGATTTTCAAGTTAGGACAGGGCCGATGTGACTGTATTTGTATGATTTAGTAAACCGTTTGATATTCTGTATTATCTGTAAGTACTCTATTAAGGGCTAACAAAAAGTGTATTACAGCAATTGAGACAATATAATAATAATAATAATAATAATAATGATCTATTTATAACACACCTTACATATGCAAACACATCTCAAGGTGCTACAGCAAGTTAAAAACACAATCAAAACTATAGAATAAAAACACGAACAGACAGACAGACATATATAGAAATGCTTTTTTTAGGCATGGGCTGCAGATCGAGATGAAGTAAAGGCATCAAGTTCAGATCCTGACACCATGGATTTAAGCTTGGATATGTTCCAGAGATGGAAGAAAATTATATTGGAAGATGAGATTTGGATGTTCAGCTCAAACTTCAGCTGTAGCAGAAAAAGAGTCGTCTCAACACAAACAGATCGGAGCCGAGCCCTGTGTGTTCCAGCTACACTCTTCAAACTTTGGTCTCAGGGTCGGCCATATTGTGTATGTCAGGGGTCTGCAGCCATTTCAGTGGGGGAGCTACTCATCATAACATAACAGTGAGCCCAAATGGATAAAGTAGATTTTATGGACCAACCAGCTCAGTCAAACTCAGGCCTGTGGGCCAAATCCGGCCCAAAATGATTTTCAGTTATCTTTAAAACAGTAATTTACAGCATTGATAGTAATGGGATACTATGGCATGTTATACTTCATTTTGAAGCCTATTACCTATTGTCAAAAGATGAAAATATGTATGTTATGTTTTTAAATTTGGCCCCCAACCAACATGAGACACCTCTGAACTATAGTCTAAGCACAGATACAGCAAACATATTTCTTGATCTGTTGGCAGATCTTGTCCAAACTTTTTTTTTTTGGCATGTTTTGTTGTGTATTGTTATACTCAAACAAATCAATCTATCATGATTTAATGGTGCATTTGTTATACTTATAACATTATCGACTTTAAAGAGGTGGCGAGCTACTGTAGCTGTCGAGCCATAGGTTGGAGATCCACAGTGTATGACATGTGCTTGATGTGGTCTGATTTCTTAAACTTAATATTCAAGACTCTTTCTGTTGGGACAAATGTTGAAAACTCCAGCTTTAAGTTTATTGCTTGTATCCTGACCTGGAAGCCTCTCGTTTCCCAGCAGACGCAGCTCTCCTCAGGTCTCTGCTGCTGATAGTATGAACACAGTTAAAGCTTGTATGTTTAGCAGAGAGGGTGGGCTTTAATCACTTAAGCATGTGGCTGTGAAGTCATTACACGCGGAGGATGGGAGCAGGACGTCCCAGTGAAGGCGTCTGCCAGTGGACACATCTGGTTCCTCTCCTCCCGTGCCCTTGTTTTGGATACAGCGCTAACAAGCTCCACGCAGCACCAGCGGAAGAAGACCCCACCGGCTAACAGCGGCCACAATGCGAACAGCAAGAGCTCACCTCAAACCGTGTAGCTCCTCGAGGTATGGGGAAAATGTCAAATTATTGAATGAAGGCGAGGCAAGTTTATTTGTGTAGAACAGTTCATACACAAGGCAACTCAATTTGCTGAACAAAACAAGATGGAAACACTACAAGGCATTAAAAACATAAATAATCACAGAACATTCAAAAATATTGACTCTAGGACCAGCAGGAGACCAGTCCCTGTACTCCTCAGAGTCCAAGCAGGAGGCCAGTCCCTGTGCTCCTCAGAGTCCCAGCAGGAGGCCAGTCCCTGTGCTCCTCAGAGTCCCAGCAGGAGGCCAGTCCCTGTGCTCCTCAGAGTCCCAGCAGGAGGCCAGTCCCTGTGCTCCTCAGAGTCCCAGCAGGAGGCCAGTCCCTGTGCTCCTCAGAGTCCCAGCAGGAGGCCAGTCCCTGTGCTCCTCAGAGTCCCAGCAGGAGGCCAGTCCCTGTGCTCCTCAGAGTCTGAGTTGGTTCGTATGGCTCTAACATGTCACAGATGTACTTTGGTGAAGGCCATGGAGATACTTGTGCACAAGCAGAATTAAAGTCTGAGAACTGGACCAGATTAATAATCAAAATAATTTGAGGGAATTAAAGCTAAGTGTTATTTTAAGCTTTCAATTTCACAAAACACAGTCAAGATATATTCAAGAATGAAGCAACAATTTCCCATTTTGCCATTTTGTATTATATCATGCCATATTGTAGCCTATAAATGTACTTCCTGGTTTAAAACAATGACATCACCGGAGGGATGTTACTGACCAAAACTCTTGAGTCAAAACAATGAGTTTGTAGTCAATCCCGGCAAATGAAGCCGTAACTCTTTGGTGATCGCGTCCTTTAATGTGTGTTTGAAAAGCCGGAGGACTCACCTCTCTGACAACAGCAGCGTATAAGTGAACTCAGCTGGTTCTGCTCTGCTCCAACTCTCCAAACATATGGCTCTGAGCGTCTAATGTAGGCTAATTAAAACCAAAAAATGCTACGTTGTTGCGTGTCCTTGCGGAAAGTGCAGAGAATGTTTGTGGAGTTGGCAGAGCCGTGAAGCGGAGTGAGCACAGGTCACAGACTCAGAGGAAAACATGTGGTGAAGAAAATACAGTGGTGAGAAAAGCACTTTATTAACTGGATTTGGAAGATTAACATACACTTGAATCAAATCTATGTCAAATGTATGTCTCCTCTCGGGCATATCCCACCAGGAGGAGACCCCTGGAGGGACGATGTCTCTCAGTTGGCCTGGGAACGGCTCTGGATTCCCACAGATGAGCTGGAGGAGGTGTGTGTGGAGAGGTAGGTTCAGATTCAGATTCAGATTCAGATTACTTTATTTACCATTGTGCAAAACACATAGGAATTTGACTTGGCAACATGACAGTGTGCATTCATCTTTTTTTTTTTTTTTTTTTTTTAACTGGGTTAACCTGGCAGGAGCCAGATTGATGATTGTGTAGAACTCTAATGCGTTCTCCACAATATCAATCTGGGACTTCTGCAGGAGAATCCTTTCGGGGAAAGGAGGGATAAGCAGCAGAATACTTCAAGCTGATTGGGCGAAGTGACGCTGTGTGCCCGCCTACCAAGGTTGCCGTCCAAAAATGCGCAAACATCTTTGCCGTCCAGAAATGCACAAAGCGCCCCTCGCTGTTCATCTTTCAAAAAAGAAATTGGAGATTCTGCTAAAACTGACTTGATAGCCTCAGCTACGCGTCCGTCCTCCTGCGTAGCCATGTTTGTTTTGCTTCGGCCCGGCACTTCTTGCTTTCGTCAAACCCGGATATCCCGCCCTAAACGCCCAGACTGGCGCGTGATTGGCTTGAACACCAAGATGTTCGACTCGAAAAGGGTTGGCGGGAGCAGGACAAGATGTATTCTCGAGTGTTTGTGAACTCACAAATACCGCGAGAATTCAGCTTGCAGGCAAGGTTAGGTCGGGGTGGCTCTGCTTAGACTGCTGCCCCCAGTCAGGGAACGGGTGAAGCAGAAGAAAATGGATGGATGATGATTATGGTTACATGAAACTGTATGAAAACAGGTAAAACAGGTAATGAGACAAGACCAGCAGCAGAGTAAAGATCCATGCATTCAATAAAGTTATACAACAACAAAAGATATACAGGTATATTTTCTGCTCTAAAGGAGAAGGTTCAAGTTCAAAGATCAGAAAATGGTTTTAGAGTTTAGTGATTGGAAGTGAGCCACAGTTGGATCGCACACGCTGCAGTGTAAAGACCACATTATGGCTTTGACAGAAAGTGGTTTGTTAAAGTACTAAAACAACTGTTGCACATTTGGTCAGAAATCAAGCGTTGATAATTTTTTCAACAAAGCAACAGACGACGACAAAGTCAAAAGAAACATGGTCAGAATATTTTTCACAAAAGGAATATGTAACAGCACAAGGAAGTCCAAGAAGCAAACCAGAGCTAAAATATGGAACAGTCTTAAGGCAACACAAAAAACAAAAGTGAGGTTGAGTAGAAAGACACACTAGATCTCCCTGAGCAGTCAATTAGACGGCTTTTACTTTTGGAAGTGTGTTTAGTCAGGTCATTTTTGATCCTCATAATGTTGTGACTTTTCCTGTTAATGTAGTTAAATCCTATGTCATTATTCTTATGAAATCATATTTTTATTTTGAAATGGAGCAGAGAAGTAGAGAAAAGCAAGCACAAGTAACCATAGAGACCAGTTAGCATCAGTCTTTCAACAAACGTTTTTTTTCGTCTGTATTTCAAGTTATATTTACCAGTTTTTGCGCTTATTAAACGTAAATTTTAATTCAACTGAACATCCAACCCGTCTTTTCAGAACTCCATTGATATGAATGGGAGCAGTCAAAACGACGGCTCTGAGAGATCTAGTAGATTCAAAATTCGTGCTAACATTGCGTTGCCAGTGTGCTTTGGCTTGCATGTGTAGATATGTGGTTTCGTTGCTATTTGGAGCAGCTGTATTAATTGCTGGCAGAGTCACGGTCTCGGTGTGAGTCTCGCTCTCAGCGGTGACTTCTCGGAGAGCAGCCAGATGGAAAGCTCACAGAGAAATCTTTACCACACTTGAATTAAATAATGGCATGTGGGCAGCCATGCAGAGCTCTTCATCAGGCTTCTCCTTTCAAATATTAGAGTAGCAAACCTTTTGTGCCGCGGGGAGGATTGTTTAAGTCACTTCAATTTACGAGGCAATTTAAAGAAGGAAATGGCAACAATGTGAGGACCGGAGATCTGCACGTCACTTACCAGGAGGGTCATGGCAAGTTTTGGTTTTAGAGTGGTTCCTTGCTGATACGGGAGGATCTGTTGGACCCTTGTCTGGGGGGTCATCCAGGACACTCCAGGACATCCAACAACATCTATGGACATTTGTCATCATTTATGGACATTGGTCTCTGCCAGTGGGGGCGGGTCCCGGCTCAAAAAGCTCAATCTCACTGCGGGCCGGTGGGGGTGTACCCGGAAAGAGAATTATCCTATGCTTTTGTATGGCGTCTTTTATAAGATAAGATAAGATAAACCTTTATTAGTCTCACAGTGGAGAAATTTTAGTGTCATTGTTGCGCACATTACAGCAGAGAAAGGAAATAAGAGCACTCAGATTGCACACATCAAAGTCTATTATTTAAGATAATAGACAATAAATTTAAGATAAAATAAAATAAAATAAAATAAGATAAACTCTGGGCTATAATTGCACTTGGTTCGGAGTATTTACAGATGTCTATATTATACATTAGCAGCGGAGAATATGAGCAGAATAAACATCAGAAATAATATCAACAGGTAAAGTGACTTGAATGGGAGAATTATCAGATGGATATGAATAATACAGTAAGATATCAACAGGTAAAGTGACTGGTGAAAGGCAGAAATAGCAGATATGAAATAATACAGTAGTACTGATAACAGGTAAAGTGACTAGTGACAAAGTTACTAGTGAATTATCAGTGACACTTGTGCAGACTCAGCAGTTCCTGTTACACATTCTCGTTGTACAGTCTGACAGCAGCCGAAGGAAAGACCTGCGAAACCTCTCCTTCACACAGCGAGGGTGAATTAGTCTGTCACTGAAGCTGCTCTCCAGAATCCTCTCGAAAACGGCTTTACAGGATGGTCCAAAAGTTGGCTCTTGGTCCAGTTTAGTTTAGCCTCTGTGGACTTTTGAATGCACTCGTTTAATGAATGGGGCAACATTTTCCTGCCCTGTGGCCATTTTGGAACTGTCCATAGAAGGTGACAGTGGTGGCACATTAGTTTCAACTAAGTCTGTTAATATTTACAGTCCATGGTCTCTGCCCCTTATGGACCAATGACTCTAACAGTTTTGTTTTATAAATGCCTTTCTTATATTTGAACTGTTTGATTCTCCGATCTGTGTTGGTGAATTCAACGATTTTGTTTAGTCCTTTGAGATAACTAATGCTGCACCGTTCATACTCAAGGCAACTCAAAGTGCTTTTGTCATCACAGAACTTTAGGACCAGGCTTCATCTTTGGCTCCGTCTTGGGAAGGCTTTGGAATAGTTCTTTTAATGACAGATTGGGCTTCCACACCCTTGGCTTTGAGTCCAGGGACAGGAGGACCACTCAATACTGGTGCCCAGAGTCAGGACTAAACATGAGGAAGCAGCGTCTCAGATTTATGCAGCTAAAATCTGGAACAGTCTTCCTAAAAGTGTGAGGCAGGTATGAACTGGGCTATACAAATAAACCTTGCCTTGCCATGTATGAGAAAATAATGATTCCCAGTGGCGACAGTAGAACTCCAATCCTCTCATTGTTCTTTGCGCAAATACTTTCATTTATATCCAAACTAGATTAAGCTATTAAGGCCCTTACTGTGAAACTGGCTGAAGACTTCTCATGCACATAGATACACATGCTTCAAGACTTATTCAGTCAGATGTAAAAATGGGACTGATTCCAAGTCGACACACTAAAGGCCTTTGTTTAAGGTTAAGCAGCTAGACTTACTCACTCTGGGGTTATCTGTCTCTTGGTGGGAG